GTATAATACTACCCCCCTACTTTATGGATGATTTTTAGGGTTAAATTTCTAGTATTATACATGAATAAATAAAGTATATCAGGAGGGCAATCCTGGACCCCGAGGGCCGCAGCTCTGCATGTTTTACTGTTTCCCTGCTCCAACACACCTGATTCAGGCATTAATTTAACTTTTCCAGGTTCTGCAGAAGCGATCATCACTCATTCATTCAAATCTGGTGCGTTGGAGCAGAGAAACAAGTAAAACATGCTCGATGCCCACCTCTGATTCAAATGTTATCAATTTTTAAACAAATTAAAACAAAATAGCTTTTCTGCTTTTGTTTTAAAAGCTTTTAAGCCATTTTAAATTGAACTGTAAGAGAAATATCTAATAAAACTTTGTTTTAAAATTTTTTTTACTTAAATTATCTGATAAATTTACTTGTATAACTTTTATTTTGGCAAAAAAAATCATTTCAGAAACAATAATACAAACACTAATGATGTAATTAAATAATTACTTCAGGACTCTGTTTTATTCTAGTTTTCTGGTCACTGTTACCTGTTTTCAGTTTGACTGAAGTTGAGATTTATGAGTTAAAATCCATCAGAATGTTTGACTTTCCTGAACAAACACTGGATTATTTGAACAAACACTGGATTATTTGAACAATCAGGACAACACGCTGCTGTTTTAAATGTTTTTCCAGAGCAGAGAGGATTTTCCTAAAGAGCTGCTGATGTGTAATAAAATCTGTCAAACTGGAAATCAGCTAAATATAACTCCTCTTTTACATCTCCTTTTATTAAAGACGAATTTAAACCTGATGTAGATTTTAATCAGCAACTGCTCTGATTAATCTGTATAAAAAACAAACATTACAGCAGAAAAAATAAACTAATTGAAAAAGTGATTTCTCACCAGCTGTCAGAAGATCCAGATGTCCAAAGCTCAGGATGTGGAGCGGCTGGCAGCAGAACTCCCTCTGCAGAGATCAGCATGTTTGACAGAGAAAAAGGCCGGTTCATGTGCGGGACGGTCTGCGCATGTGTGAGCAGATTGCCTGCTGAGTCATGTTTTATGACTCAGCCTGATAAGAGAAGTGGGGAGAAGTGCAGCAGCTCCGCTTTAAACATCCAGTTACAGAAACCAGACAGTAAACGTATTAAACTGTCATAAAATGAAAATTATAAGCTTTATTCAGGTTCAGATAAAGAAAAACCGGAGCTCTGTGGTTCTGTAAAAACAGAATTTAAACAGGTAATAAACACACATTATAAAAGATGTTATTTAATCTGTTGGACTTTACATGATCTGTTGAACAAAGTAAGTAAGTAGGTAAAGTTTTATTTACATTGCGCCTTTCACAGAAATAAATCCACAAGGTGCTGTTCATTCAGGGAAGGGGGGAGAGGGCAGTTAAGGCCGGTCGTGCAGCAAAACACAGTTGCGCTACCACAACAAAAAAAAAAAAAAAAAAAAAAAAAAAAAAAAAACACACAAGGGAAGAACAGAAAAAAAGCAAAAACATCATATTATATCAACACTGTGACACACTATGGTGTTTATTTAAAAAAAACCTCTTCATAGGGCAGTGAGTTTAAAGGGGCCCGAAGAATCCAGTCCTGTAAAGCAGCACAGCCATAGTTCAGAATATGGATGTTAACTGTTCATTTTGTGTGGCCCTCTGCCTGCTCAGGAAACCAGATTAAATGGGTGAGAGAGAAGGGGGGGAGGTATGTGGCTGAGCCTTATTGACGTAATCCAACCAGGAAGAATTTAGTCAACAGCTCAAGGCCATTGTCGGGGAGATCCAGATTCTGTAATCAGTTGTTTTGGGAACAGAAGAGACAGGCAGACGATAACAATTTTCCATCTGCTTTAGTGTTCTGCTGGTGCATCTCAAGGTGGTGAATCCAATCAGACAAACAGTGCGGACAAATTCCGCCGAGCTATCAGCTTCTCCAAGATGAATTCCATCTGGCCAGCAAAGTCCAGGGACCACAGCCGGCCCGCAACTCTCAATACTGAAGGGGTTTGGTGATGAGACAGACCCAGGGTGCAGGCAGGATTTCAAAATGTAACAAAAAGGTTTAATAATTAACAAAAAGAGGGCTGCTGGCAGCAAACTTACAAATA